CGAACGCTACATATGTTTGCCATTAAATCATACGTTAATTATGTGTTAATTAAAGTGCAAAACAATTGATACAAACTTTTGGCGATTTATTGACATCTCTTTCGGACCAAAGATTTGAAGTAAAGTTCACTTTAATTGAACTCAAATCAAAACAAACCAAACATTGAATGTTGTGTTTAATGCCCACAAAACACGTCATCCATTGAACCCTCAAATGGGGGCCAAATATATGGCTCACAGATAATGACAGTATTTATGGCATTCATTGACACACAAGTCATTGCGAGGGGAAAGTGCGGACCAATGAGGGCTCGCCTTACAAATAGTTGGAAACATTGGGACCAATAGGAGAGAGCGTTGTGTATGAGTTGTGAACGTATTGTGGGTTCGAATGAATTGGAGCTAAAAATGTGAGACAAAAGTGTTGTTTGAGTTTAGGATTGAGTTTAGGTTTGAATGCATTGACAAAAGTGTCGTCTTTTCTAAACATGTCGTCAAATGTATTGAAGAGTTTGAACGATAACTCGGAGGACAAGACCCGCGACGGACACCAAAAGGCCACTAAAGCGCACAAACTTCGGTCGAAGAGCGCATCCATCGCCACAACAACCACAACGACAACGACAGGCCGTGTGGGCGGCGGACGGCGTGGACAGCGTTGCGGTCTCTTCGCGGACATAATCTCGTCGGCCGTTTGGCTGAATGACGTGCGCGCACACAGACGTGAAGACATCGATGCCGTACTCGTGATGGCCAACAAACACATGATCGACGGTTGCGATTGTGTCACACTTTGCGTCACTCTTATACTCATAGGAAACACTCATTTCGAGACATTTCTCTTCAATCTGAAGGAGTTTGAGACCAGAGTTGCCGCGCAAGAAGACGCCAACACAGCAGCCGTCGCTCCGCAGACCACCGCCTCTGAAGCGGACAAACGCGAGGACACTTCAGGAGTGGTGAACGATATTCCCGTCCATAAGGACAGCAAATTAGAGGCGAATGTGATGTTGGGTTTGGTTAACATGAAGAATATGAAGGATCTGTTGGCGCCGATGGACGAGGCGGTAGAGCACTGGAGCCGAGCCTTTAAGTTGAGTTTGAAAAGTCATATACTGACTGAAGAGTCGGTGATTGGGTTTAAGCTGTACTACAACTTGTCGTCAGTCATTCATATCTATAACTTCTATAAGCGCTTCGAGGCCTCACTTCGGGCCGCGAAACTGATGAATGATTTTTGTCAATACTATTCACACAAATACTCGGAAATTAGTTTGACAGCCAATTACTACTTGGTTAAGGCTTACATCCAATTGGGCGCCGTATCTAAAGCCACCGCCTCTTTAGCTCCGTTGAGACCATCGAGCGTTTCCGCCGACCAATCAATGCCCGAGACGTTGGGAACTTCACTCAATCTGTTGGCCAAATGTGAAGTGGATTTACTCAATGGTCGCACAGAAAAGGCGGCGAAGTCTTTACAACTCTATCTCGCATCAGATTATCTGCAAAAGTTGACTATAAATCGTTATTATGTGAAAGCGTTGTCTCTTTTAATGGCCACTAAACTGCCGGCAAAACACTTCAATTACTCGTTAAACTTCAGAGAATTCTTAGAACCGATTCAGATGTCTGTCTGTATACTGAAGAGATGGCATCCGTGGCTCTCAACTACGGTCAGAGCCAATAATGAGAACCAAGTGGTGAATGCGGCCGATTTGGACCCGCTTTGGTATAAGTACGGAGTGATGACCTTTGCCTTCGACGCCCTCTCTTTGGCCACTGATTTCTATACAAACGTTGAGATTCCCATCGATTCCTTCTATTACTACAACTCTCTCATAAAATTAGGCCGACGTTATTGTGCGACCGTTCGGTGCGTTGCCCTCCACTTCACTCCCCTTTCATTTGATGTTTTAATAATGTCTTGTATTTTAGTCTTTCAGAAGTACTGCTCATTGGTTCCCAATTGGATGCCATTTGTGATCACAAATATTCAGCGCAAACAAAGCTAAACAACGCTTCTCTGTGTCTGCAATCAACGCATTACTCATCGGATTCGACGCCTGTATTTGCCGGCGATTCTTCTGAGTCCACAACTACTTGTGAAGTGAAGCATTCAATCGATGGACAACACATCCCTCAAACTGATCCAGAAATTGATATAAAGTCAACTCAATGTTCATCTAATTTGAATTCCTCGATACGCGAAGATTGTGAACACAAACACTCCACTAATCCCTGGGAAATGAAGAGAAGATTGAGAAATATTGACAATTCTTTGTCTGATTCTGAAGACTATTCTTCCAATAGAAAAAAGCCGTCAATTGATTTGCAGACATTGATCGATGAAAATAGTTTTCAAGAAATACTGGATTTAGTCATAACGTCGATTGAAATTGATTTCTATAAGCTTTTGTTGGATGAAAACGACGCCAAATACATAATAAAGCAAATAAAAGGCGTTCACATGAATTGTCTCGAGAATTATGCTTCCAATGTATTGAAGCCAAGGATAGAGGAATTAATGGACGAAACGTCACAAGAAATTGTCGACAATTATCCCATATATAGACTCTTAAAGTTTAAATTAGTTGAAAAGATTGCGAGCCTTGAAGTGGAGCTCAAAGAATATGAAGACGCCGTCAATACATGTCTTAATATTACTGCTTATCCAACCTATACTTATGGCGAGCGTCTCATCGTTTCAAACCTCATGTATTTGGAAGCGTTGTCTAAATTTGAGTTATATTTATGTAAACGTAATATTAATAGCGATAAGCTATGGATTGAATTCAATCATAACTATATGGAGTGTTCGGACGCTTCGGCATCGGCTCTGTCGCAAGCCTTAACCCCTCCCAGACCTCAAGCTATGAAAGCTTTAGCCCCGAAGGCTCCCAAACAGAAAGCCTTTAAGAACGAAGAGATGAATGATTACGTAACGGCTCTCACAAACAAATTGTACGACGAGTTAAAACCCGATCAAAAGACAGCAAAACTTTTTGATAACGATTCAGAAATGCGTTCGTTTTCAATGTCGGACTTGAACTCAACGGCCACTGAAAAGGCAGTCGATTCTGATATTATAGTTGTGGACGTCTTCTCCAAAGACAAACCCAATCCAAACCCGACGCCCACTAAGCGTATGACGCGTTCAAAAACAAAGCTCATTGAAAATGTTGAGAAACCACTGAAGACCACAAAGAGAAGAGCTCTGTCCTCAAAAAGCAAGCCTTTGAGTGATGTGTCAAACGATGTCAAAGATTTGAATATAAATTATGAGAATTTGGACGACGTTTTTCACCAAAAACTCGTCATTTCAGATGAGGTCAAAGTTGTTAAGAAGTTCTCGAAAGAGGATTCGTTTGACTTGTCGTCAATCATATCAACACTTAAGCGAATATTTCGTTTGGTGTCTTCACACCCGAGTTGTAAACTCTATACTTCTGTTCACAAACTGTTGTCACAAATATATTCTATGGAAGAGTTGAAGAATGAAGATATTGTTGGCTATCATTACAGCGAAACCAATGATTCTAACTATCGGTACAGAAATCTATTCATCGCCGAAAAGAAGCGCAAATTGAATCGATTGGTTAAATATGACTTGAAATGTATTGCATTTGATCCGCAAATCATTGGTTCAAACAATTCGTACAAAACATATACCGATAGTTTGCCAAACGATTGGCGAATCATTCAGTTCTCAACAGTGAATACGGATTCAAAAATTCCCGAATTAATGGTTTGTCGGTTTCAGAAGAATTGCAGACCTGTTTTCCTCAAGATTAAGGCCGACCCAAACAGGGTTTGTATCCTTTCTATCAATCATTTTTGTTTGTATTGAATATCTTATATTCATTTTAGATAATCAAACACTTTATGACACATTTTGCGGAAATCATCGAAAGATCGAACGCATCGATCGTTAATAAAGATAAGGAGACCTTTTGGAGACTCCGGTACTCTCTGAACGACGAGCTCATGGTTTTGTTGCGAAGCGTTGAGGAGACCTGGTTTGGGGCCTTTCGGGGCATTCTTTTCGGACAAATTATGAACAAAAACTATAGGAAAATGTGCACAACTTTGAGCTCATATATCAATGTTTACGCAAAAAGCGATGGTCTCTGTTGTAAGAGTGAAGGGCTGTTGGATGTGATGGTCGAGTCGCTGCCGTCCCTTAAATACTGTGAATATAAGACAGCAATGAAAACACTATTCACCACACCTTCAGACGCTCTCATTACTAAGTGTTTTGAAAAATACGAACAACTATTTACTGATTGTTTCCCCATTGATAACAAAGAACTGGTTTTTACAACATATGGCTTATCACCCGTTGGTTTGATTCTCGATAAATCCCTCGAAGCATTTCCATTGGAATCCCTGCCATCGCTTCAGACATACAATCAATCGCTATTCAGAACCCCTTCACTCCGAATACTTTCTCTAATGTATAATACATTTAAGGATAATATATACAGCAATGGTGTGGACGAGAAGAGTGTGTATTATGTCATAAATCCTGCCGACAATTTGGATAAGACTCAGGAGTATTTCAAAGAGTCGTTTACAGCAATGAAGGAGTGGAATGGAGTGATAGGACGAGTGCCTCCTCCGCAAGAATTGAAGAACGCTTTGGACTCGAAGGACGCGTACATATTCTTCGGTCACGGGGCCGGCGCTTCCTATTACCGGGCGATACCCGAAGGTCTGGACGGCTGTAGCGTTAACTGCGCTTCTGTAGTGATGGGTTGCAGTAGTGGTAAACTGTTTTCTGACGGCAAACACTTGCAATCGTATGGAACTCCGTATCGGTTTATGATGAACGGCAGTCCCTGTTATGTGGGAGTCCTTTGGGACGTCACCGATAAAGATATCGACAAATTCTCCGATCACTTACTCAGCCATTGGTTCTCCAATTGGAAACGAGACTCAAATGTCGCCAAACGTGAGACTAATATGTCTATAGCGTCGGCCGTCTCGTTGTCCCGAAAGTCCTGTAGACTTAAGTATTTGATTGGAGCGGCGCCTGTAGTCTATGGGTTACCCCTTTGCGCTAAAATTGATAAAAATGAGTCCAATTAACGCATTCTTACAAATGTTTTTAAATATCACAAATATTGTCAGTATTTTTCTATTGTTATATCCAATAAAAGTGATTAGATTTTACTATTTTATATATCAAAATATTTGTATTAATGATTTTGTATTTAATTTTTAGAGAATATTTTCACTAATAAATGTTTTTATGGTTTTATATTTTTAAAAACTTTGTTTTCTTATTAAAAAAGTTCAATTTAAGTCAGTTTTAATAATAATGACATTACGTAAATTCAAAACTGAAATTATAATATATGGGCAGAAACTACACGTTCAGTCTATATGTGTAAAGTAATAATGGGTATCAAAAATAATTATTTAATGGTAAAGAATGGGTGTCTTTGGCAGTGATCCCTTAAATTCAAAACTGAAATTATAATATATGGGCAGAAACTACACGTTCAGTCTATATGTGTAAAGTAATAATGGGTATCAAAAATAATTATTTAATGGTAAAGAATGGGTGTCTTTGGCAGTGATCCCTAATATGATTGATTAATTTGTCACTCTTTTGCCTTTACGTGATAAGTAAGACAAAAAATATAGAGAATCACATATAGTGTTGAGCACTACAATCGCTACATCACTAATGCATTACTTGTATATAGTGTTGTGAGTTCTGTCATATGACGTCATATAACACTTTACATTACAGTTATATGACATGTAAAGTGTAATATAGAAATTTTATATTACAAAAAGTGTAATATAGCTCTGGCGCCATCTGTTAACTAGGTAATTATGATTAGGCAATTACGCTATTATTTTAAAAATAAATTGAAACACAATTATAATAGCCCTATTATTATACACAAACGTTTAGACAAACATGGCCGACAGGGGGACTGAATGGGGGTTTGATTGTTAGGCATTGGTTGTAATAACACTAGTGATCAGACAGATGTCGCCCTTGTTTTGTCTAAACGTTTATTGTGTATAATAATATAAAAGTGTGTTTTGATAATCTATTGGCAATACAAGTCGTAAATGTATTGTAAATTTAGCCATGATTTCTAAATTAGCGTTATTCAAGCAAAATGTGTATTTTCTATATTACACTATGTGACGTTATATGACGTCATATGACTGTCATTGATTAGATTTTACTATTTTATATATCAAAATATTTGTATTAATGATTTTGTATTTAATTTTTAGAGAATATTTTCACTAATAAATGTTTTTATGGTTTTATATTTTTAAAAACTTTGTTTTCTTATAAAAAAGTGCAAATTAAGTCAGAATTAATAATGACATTACGTAATGGTATATATGAATGGATACATGTATTACATCATGTGTTTTGAATGCATTCACGTGTTTAGCAATGTTTACGCAAAACATGTTTTGTGTGAAGAGATGTTTGACTCGTGTCTCGAGTGAAACAATCCGAAGACAATCGCATGTATTGTCCGCTCAAACAGTTCTGGGAATCGAGACATCATGTGATGAGACGGGGATAGCAGTGGTCGACAGCGACCGACAAATACGATCGCAAGTCTGTCGGTCGCAACTGAAGACTCACCTGTCAAACGGCGGAATCATTCCTCCGGTGGCCAAACAGATGCACCAGAAGTGTATCGACGACTGCGTGCGGCTCTGTCTACAAGAGGCGGATCTGAGGGCTGACGAGTTGTCTGCGGTGGCCGTTACTGTCAAACCCGGTCTTCCGCTGTCTTTAGTGATCGGCAGGAATTACGCCAAGACTTTAGCGCTGAAGTACTCGTTGCCAGTGATTCCCATCCATCACATGGAAGCGCACGCCTTAATGGCAACCATTGATAACCCAAGTCTTGACTTTCCGTTCGTAACTCTACTGATATCCGGCGGTCACTGTCTTCTGGCGATTGTCCGTAATATCACTCGTTATGATCTGTTGGGAGAGTCTGTAGACACGGCTCCGGGAGAAGTGATGGACAAAATCGCGCGACGGCTAAGACTTCGCAATTTGGGTCCGCCTTTCGATGGCATTAGCGGCGGAGCGGCCGTCGAGTTGTGCGCCAAAAGCGGGGATCCGTTTAAATACTTTACAGACGTAAACAGTTATCCATTGTATACCT